CCCCAAAACCCCAAAACCCCAAAACCCCAAAACCCCAAAACCCCGTATAAATTGGGGTTAATTGAGAGATACATTTAATAAGCAAAATGGAAAGTGAACAAAGCTCAGTTATTGGAAATAATCAGAATCTTAAGAAAAGATCTCTTAGAGAACTTGAAAAGAGGATGAATGATAAACTTCTAAGATCTTTGCAAATTAAAGGAGTTTGGAAAGCATACTACCATCCTCTGAAACCTGCAATATACTTTAGAATTTATGAGTTCATAGGAGATTCGGTCATATTGCTGTACCCTTCGAAGAAGTGGGTGATGCAAGAACTGCACGAAGAGAAGTACTTCTCAGCAATAGGAAATTACCCTCTGACAAGGATTCAGCATTGGTCGGGAAATCTGTTTTTGGGGAGATTTTATTCGCTTGGGTTTGGAGTACGGCATGATGAGGTAGCGATCGGAAACCACGCCTTCACTCTAAACCTGAAGAACAAATTCTACCGTAAACTGACTTTCCAAGCCCTGAGCCAAGCCACGACCAAATTCAGCCTTCGCCAGTTCAAGATGAGCGTGAGGGATGTGGGTAAGGTCATCTTGGCCGGCAATATGTGTCATGAGATTGCCTTCAAGGAGTGACAAATTGATTTTCAAGGAAACCTCAGAGGGTGGCCGAGGTATTTCTATCGATATGACCTTGACTCAAACACCAAGCTGAGCATTTTAAAGTTTGGCTGCTGTATCCCACTCAACCAAAGACTTGCATTTAACCGATTAGACAAACAAAGTATTAGCCAAGTTAATAAGATACCAGATCCAAATGAAGAAACAAATAGAACAATAGACGACCATGAAAGCACTTCATCTGAAGATGAAATAGATCGTACTGAGATGATCTGCACACTAATGGAATATATCAGAAGCTCACATTTAATAGATCAATTAAAGATGACTGTTTTTCTCTGAGAAAATCTGGACATTGATAAACATCAAATAACCTCCCAATTCGACCACACAAACATAAAATCTAAATTAGAACACTGCACAACAATCACCAAGATAACCTTCAGCACAAATCAAGAATAATTCCTTCAACCAATAATCCAAGTCTCGGGGTTTTGGGGTTTTGGGGTTTTGGGGTTTTGGGGTTTTGGGG